CAATTATATATACATATGTCTCTGTGTATATCTATATGTAGATATACACACACGCTTCACTACTCTGTCACTCTTAATCCTAATTTCTACTTGTCCCTGAAGACTCAATTAGTGCTTCTACTTAGCAAACTCCAGTGGATCCCTTTCATCCACTAATGGCCTCCCCACCCCAAAAGGGTGGATTCAAACTCATTAGTCCCCTCCTTCTGATTTCTTAGGCTGTAAATCTCAATGGGAGGAGACTATTTTATGTGTTACACTGTTAACCAAAACGTTGGGCATCTCGAGCGTTTCTAATCCATCAGGGCTCCACGGAAGGCTGACAGGTCTTTAAAAGACAGGTCTCATAAATATCTTGCACATAACTACCCTATTTTTACGTCCGATCTATATTGGATTACCCAGGATCCAGTGGAGAGAGTTTATAGTGTTGTGAAAGCTTAATAAATTAGCCGAATAAAGAAAGGAGTCAACAACAGCAGAGCTTCCTTTCTTAAACGATGATGCACAGAAAAACACAACAACAGCAAAACATGCCAGCTAATGGTCTATATTCTCTTGCAGTCTTGTAACTAACAGGAAAAGCTGCGATGCACTACAACGACCACTGGGAGTTTTGCAAGACAGAGGAGAACGCTTTTGCAAGAGCAAAATTAGACCTCCAGGACCTCATCCCTATATCCATCCAGACTCTCCCAGGAAGAAAATCCATTCTTTGAAGGGTTATAGTCAAAACAAAACGTGGTCAACTGGAGCTTTCTGGTCGGCTGAGTAGGACAGGCCAAAACAAAGTTGACAGATGACCGAGATTACAGCCAGGCACTGGATGGCGTCACTTAACTGCCCTGCCCGTCCCATAAAGGGATGGGGGAGGGGAAGTGGACAAAACGGCTGTTTCCTACCAAGGTTCATTAGGGACTCAAGATCCCAGTGCAGAGCTTCCCTCTAGAGGTTGCATTACCTCTCCTGAAAAGGATCTTATCTGATCAGGAATCCTCTTCAGCTTGCACAAGATGAACCAGGGCGCGGCAGAAATCTTACCCCTTCCGTCGCCACAGCTGACTGTTGCTGTAATGGCGGCCGTAGGAGGGCTGTGACAGGTGCCTTTATAGAAGGCCCCAAGCAGGCGACCTTCCATTGGTCTGAACCTATCACGTGCTCTTCCATCCAAGGTCACGCAAACAAGGCGTGAAAACTCTGAGCTGGATGTGAAGGGTTGTGGGTGGGCAATGGGGTGGGTCGAGTGTGGTGGGGAGGAGCATTGTTGATCTTTTTAACCTTGAGGCGGGTGGAAAGTCCAAGGCTTTAGCGCAGAGAATGTCTTCGAGGCGTAGGTTTTGGTTTGCAGTATTTTCATCCCTAGCATATTCCAACACTTCCCACCACAGTGGTTCATGTTAGGTAGCAACTGAATTTAGAGGCAACACGATTTCACGTTTAAAATGGCACTTGGTTGTTTTACGACAGCTATATAAGAGCGATTTAGGATTTTGAGAGTATTGCTCATTAACAAGGAACTCTGTTGGCCTGATGGCTAGAGTACTGGCCTATTAACTGGAAAGGTCCTTGGGTCAAACCTAACTGGGCAGTTCTAACTGGGTCCACATCAGGTCAAGTGGTCTTGGGGTACTTACTTCTTATGGTATCTGAATACTATAAAAGTGCCAGTTCTATTAGGAGAATGGGGATCTCTGTAGTAAAAACATTTCCGTTTTTACTATAGGCACGGCTCAGAATTGCAGGTTTGGTTGCAGACCACGGCAGTCAAACTCAATGTGGCAATAAAGAAAACCTTATGAATTTTTTTTTCTTCTCAATGTACGTAAAACGTAAAACTTAGTGCACTGAGCTGTACCGTGTTGAGTATGCATTTACACTGTGAAAAAGATTGAAATATTTGGAGAATTACTAAAAGTTGACAGACAAAAGCGAGCAAAAGCTGTTGGGAAAGGGAAGCCAATAGACTTACTCAATGGAGGATTCTCAAAAAAGTTTGTAAAAATGGCAAATTCTGTGAAGTACAATAAAGTGAAGCTTAATTAGATGGATGGATGGAAACGTAAGGAAAAGCAGAGCAGAGCAGCCTGATAAACAACTTGATAAAAAAACTTCCAGTTTCCTAAGATGCAAAACCTGGCAGTCATTAGGACCACACTAGGTCATCAGAACTCCCTAGTATGTGAAGCAACAGGTATTTTTCAATTACAAAATTTTAAGAAATTACTTTTTAACTGTAGTTACTTTTTCATAATTACTTTTTAAGAACAACTTTTAAAGGTATTTTTTGTAATTACTTTTAAATTACAAAATGTTACTTTTTTTTTTAACACTTCACGAATTTGCCTGTTGTCCTTGCACAGGCGCCATACTAATCTCTGTATCATTCCAATTTTAGTGTACCTGCTGCTGTAGCGAGCACAAACAAAATGTTACTTTTTGTAATTACTTTTTAAGAGAAATATTTTAGGGTACTTTTAAAGAAAAACATTTAAGGACCCCATCACTGCCATCACAGTGACCTTTCTTTCCAAGTAACCTAAAAATAAAGAATTAAGTGGAAAAGTCCGGTAACATAGTGTAGCTTTCAAGCTTTATTATTGTTGTTATTTAAAATCATCTTATGCAAATGAAGATAACAGAGGTTTAGGGTGTGACCTTTTCTGCCTGAGGGAGATCAAGAGAAATAAAAGCTAGGAATGAGGCAGTGCAATTCTTGCCCAACTGTCAGCTTCTGAAGCCTTTCAAAAAGCTAACTCTGATCATGTTAATATTCTTAATACTTTTCAGTTACTTGACATTCTTTTCAGGATAAAGATCAAAACCTAGAAGATACAGGAGCTCTGGTTGCCTAGTGGCAAGAAGCTGCACTGCAATAGCTAAGACTTATAGTTCAAATCCAACAGATACTCCTCTGGAGAAGGAGAGGCAGTATACTCCTGTGTCAGTCAGATTCCGATTTGACAGTACACAGCAAGGAAAAAAACAAAACAAAGCACAAAACAAACCTTGAAGATGAGCTACAATGTCCTGCATTATTTACCTACTTTCAGTTTCAAGAAAGCTTCCAGCAATGCCCCCCCCCCCGAAAAGTCAAGTAACAATAAGGACACTTCAACTCTCATGCCCTTAACCACCACCACCCCAAGCCTCTATTGGCTCGCTCTTTTCTTTCTCAGCAATCTTAAATTACCACTGCCTTAGGTTAACAACAATTGGTGTGTTTTGGTTACCACACACACAAAATGACAAACACATAGACCAATGGAACAGAATTGAGAACCCAGAAATAGACCTAGCTATCTATGGTCTAGGGTCACTATGAGTCGCCTGCGACTTGATGGCACTTAACAACAATAACATCAACAGAGAGGGAGAGAGAGAGAGAGAGAGAGAGAGAGAGAGATATCAGCTGGCCCAGTGAAGAGAAAACGATGTAACCAAGACCAAGGTGGGTGACTTTTAATCCGCGGCCCTCAGGCCAGTCTTTCATTGTTTTTGTTCAGACATTCCTCTAGGTCATATAGCCCTGGTGTACAAGTTGCCATCCTGCGGTCACTTGTGGTTGCTGTGAGGCTGAGCACTGTGGCACGGATGTGTCAAATGCGTTAATGGTTGGCTACCCAATGCAGACAGAGACTGGGGTGGAGCTCCCCGATTAAAACAAGCGTGGAAGGAGGAGTGGCATCCATTTCCATAATAGCTTGCCTCCGGAAACCCTATGAACCTGGAGAGAGGATGGAAGGCACCCAAGCGTCGAGGACTCTCCTTCATAGGGTCGCTATGAGTCGCCTGCAACTCGACGGCACTTAACAACAACAGCAACATCTATGGTCAACTGATATTCGACGAGGAAATCAAAGCTATCAAATGGGGAAATGAATACCTCTTCAACAAATGGTGCTTGCAAAACTGGACTTCCACCTGCAGAAAGCTGAAACAGGATCCACATCTCACACCACACACAAAAATCAACTCGAGGTGAATTAGAGACCTGGTAAAGCCCAAAACCATAACGTTCATAAGAGACAAACTGTGATCAAGCTTAGAAGCGCTAGTCCAAGGTAGTCCAGAAGTGCACAATCTAAAGAGGATAAAATTGATGCATGGGACCTTCAAAAGAGTAAATCTCTGGGCAAATAAAAAACTTTTTGAACAGGGTGAAAAGAAAACCTAGAGACTGGGAACAAACATTTGGTAATACAATCTCAGACAAGAGTCTTATACAAAAGTTTACAAAATATTCTTGGGCCTCCACAAGAAAAAGACTGATAACCCAGTTACAAAATGGGCAAAAGACATGGAAAGAATTTTCTCAGAGGAAGATGTTTGAATGGCAAACAGACACACGAAGAAATGCTCCAAACCACTGTCAATAAGAGAGATGCAAATCAAAACCAGAATGAGGTACCATCTCACTCCAGTAGGAATGGCAAAGTTTAACAGAGCAGCAAGTGATAGATGATGGAGAGGATGTGGCGAGAAAGAAACTCTTATACATTGTTGGTGGAATTGTAGAATGGTGGAACCATTCTGGAAGGCGCTTCCTCAAAAAGCTGAACATAGAAATTCCATATGACCCAGCTATTCCACTACTTGGAATACACCCTGAGGATATAAGAACTGAGGCACAAACTGAGATTTGTACACCAATGTTCATAGCTGTATTAATCACCATTGCGAGAACAAGAAAACAGCCCAAATGTCCAACCACAAATGAATAGATTGAGAAATTATGGTACACATTTACACAATGGAATACTATGCAGCATGCAGGAGCAATAACTTTGAGAATTATTACCCAACTTGGGAGAAACTGGAGATCATTATGCTTAGTGAATTAACTCAGTCCCACAAGGATGACTATTGTATAAAACCTTTATTGTAAAATGAGTATAAGGATCCTGGAGGGGTGGGAGAGGATGGAAGCAGAGGGATGTGGATATATAAGGGGAAGAGGGAATTAATCTTTGGGTTGTACAATTTGATGAGTGAGGGAGGGGTGAGAGAAATGGAAAGAATTTGTTCGAATTTGTATTAGAATTTTGTAAATAAACTAGTGGGGGGGGGAAGAAAAAAAAAGTTATTTTTGTGTTTCTAAGAGTCAGAACCGACCCATAGCTGACCTTCCAGTGTTTTTCAGAGGCAGTTAATCACACAGTAGGAGACTGTGTATCCTTCTCCCAAAGAGGAGCCAGAGGATTTGAATTTCTTGCCTTCGAGATTGCAGTGCAGCTTTTAACCAGCTGGCCACCAGAGCTCCCCACCAATTAATTTAAAACTATGCAAAGGCCTTTGACTGTATAGATTATTACAGATTATGGCTAACATTGAGAAGAATGGGAATCCTAGAACACTTACTTCTGCTCAGAAGAAATCTATACCTAGACTAAACAGCTGCATTTTTAAAATCAGGAAGACTGTGGATCAAGCTTGTGTCCTTTATTCATATCTATTCTTGAAGGAGGACGCTAGGGAGAAAAATATGGCATCAGGATCGCAGGAAGACTCATCAACAACCTGCATTATGCAGTTGATGTAACTTTCATTGCTGAAAGTGAGGAGGATATGAAATACTTGTTGCAGAAGATCAAAGATTACAGTCTTCGGTATGGGTTACAGATCTCAACATCAAGAAAACAAAGGCCAGGGCTTTTGAGCATTTTTTCATGTGTCTATTTGCCATTTGAATATCTTCATCAGTAAAAGTTCTTTCCATGTCTTTCACCCATTTTGAAATTGGTTTACCAGTCTTTTTCTTGTGGAGGCCCAGGAGTATTCTGTAGATTTTCGTTATGAGACTCTTGTCTGAGATGGTATCACCAAATGTTTGTTCCTAGTCAGTAGATTTACTTTTCACCCTGTTGGAAAATTTTTGATGCACACAGGGATTTAATCTTTAGAAGGTCCCATTCATTAATTTTATCCTCTTCAGATTGTGCATTTCTGGCTATATTTAGCAGCCTCTTTATATCCTGGACTAATGCTTCCAAGTTTGATCTCAGTTTGTTTCTTAGGAACTTTAAGGTCTTGGGCTTTGTATGGTATGAAATGTAGATCCTGTTTCATATTTCTGCAAGTAGAAGTCCAGTTTTCCAGATGCAAATAAAAATCACAATGAGGTACCATCTCACTCCAGTA